GCTCCCGACCCCCCAGACCCCTGCCCCGGTCGCAGCGGCCGGGACACCTCGCACAGACGCAGGGAGGGGCCGCCCCGCCGCGCCGCGCACTCGACCTGCGCAGCACCCACCCTCCTTCCGCCCAGCGCCCGCCGGCCTGATGCAGGTAGCGCGCAATCCGGCGCCGCGCTTTCGCCACTGCTCTGGACAATTGTTTGAGAAAACTAACGCTAAACATGCACTGTCCTCTGACCACATCAGCTCCCACCGTGGCGACGCCTCCGAATGCAAAAGGCTAAAGCCAAAATACTTTCTAGCGGTTCAAACGGCTCCGAGGGGTAGCGAATCTGCGGAAGCTGCTCGCCGGAAGTAGGGCTGCCCGTCGCCGGAAGTTGCGCTTCCTCCATTTTGTTGCCCGCTATGGCGGCGGTGTCGAGTTTGGGCCCGGGATGCGGCGCTTTTGACTGAGGGGGTAGGCCAGGCGGAGGCATTGGGGACATCCGCGCGGCGCAGAAGAGGACCAGCCTGGACGCCGGGGACGCTGTCATGTACGGCGCGAGCGGAGGCCGTGCCAAAACGGAGAGGAAAAGCGGCGCGAAGGAGGAGGCCGGACCCGGAGGTGCCGGCGGTGGGGGGAACCGAGTGGAGCTGCTGGTCTTCGGCTATGCCTGCAAGCTGTTCCGGGATGATGAGAGGGCCCTGGCCCAGGAACAGGGACAGCACCTCATCCCCTGGATGGGGGACCACAAGATCCTCATCGACAGGTCGGTTCCTCCCCCCACCCGTCGGTCCTCCCCTTCCCTCGCCCGCTTGATTTCGTCTGATGTTGACTTGATGGCCAGGACTAAAGAGGGTTTTGTGGAGCCAGCGGGGATCCGGGGGACCCCCTCCTCTGTCCTTCCATCCCCCTGGTTTTAGAGGGAGGGGGACGGTGAAACCTGCCCTAAGGCACTGGCTGGAGTTGGCATGCCGTGTCTGTCGCCGGAGGGATCGTCTCTGCTCCTGCAGCCCCTCGCGACCCCTCACCCCTGTCACTGGTTCCAGTTGGCCACTCCACGCGGTGGAAGCTGCCGGTGCCTTGGCCTCCCCCGACCCGCGTTGCCTTGGGGTCGTGCGCTGCCTCCCTACGCGCGGCGCTCCCAGAGCTCCGTGTGGTGGGAGGACACCCCGAAACGCCGCACACTGAGGCCGCGCGGTTAGAAAACTTCTCGGGCCCCCAGAGTGCGCCTCGAACCTCGTAAGCCCCCGGCGCCCTCCGTGGAGCGCCCGTATTTTGCCGGCGTGACATTTGACTCCATCAGCCTCCCCCCTCCCCCACCCCGTGATAATCTGAACTGGTTTGAGTGATTCAGACCAGAGGGTGAAGTTGCCAATCAGTTGGAAGCCAGTTGACTTCGTGCAGACACTGGCTTTGCTCCTAGAGGTTGTGTTCTTAGGGCTGGTTTCACGGTCTCTTAAAACCGAAGGGCGGAACTGGGATATAGATGTGTTTCTTTTCAAATCAAACCTGCTTTAGGTAATCTCCCCGGAGGGTGTTCAGCCACTTTGGGCAGAGGGGTACTGGGGTCGGGGACGTCTAAAGATGTTTGATTTGAAAAGGATGGCATTACATGGTGTAGGCCGTTTGCTCCCCTCTCCCCCCCATGTTTTCAGTCCCCCTCTCTTTCCTTCTCCTTCTTGGGGTTTTTGTTGGTTTGGTTTTTTTGTTTTGTTTTGTTTTGTTTTGTTTTTTGCCGGTTTGGCAACTCTGCTTCTGGGGCCCGGACTGAAAAGCTAAGGATGACCAGCCATTTAACTGTGGAATAGTCTCTCCGAGTGAAGGAAGCCCGTCGTTTGATTAAAGCTGGATTCTACAAAGCCCTGGAACGTGACTGTAGGGATGACCTGTGCGCTGGCCAAAAAATGGACACATTAATGACCAAATAGGCCTTTTTCCACCCCTGACATTTCCGTTTGGAGTTAGATCTAGGCAACAGTGACTCTTGAAGGGAGGGCTGCCGTATCGGTCCGGACGGGACACCTCGCCCTCTTCAAACACGTTGTGCCTTTAAACCGTAGTTTCTATTGAACGAGGTTGCCTGAGCTGTCAGGCAGCTTGCTTTTCCAAAGCGTTACTTGTGCTATTTGTTATGAAAATTCGGTCAACGGTGAAGTCTGAGCTCTTTAGGCAGTTTTCCTTATCGTTCTGTACGTGACTGGAGTTAGGCCTTCCGTGAACGGGGAGCAAACGCCACACATGTACATGTGTAATAGTTTCAAATAATGATCTACATTTGTAAGTTAAGGAGGTTTACATCAAAGTAAAAATAATTTTGCAATTTAATAAAATGCAATAACTTGGCTACTCTGGAATTTTGGCCTTTTTCTTATAAATGTCTTTTTTGTTCTGTTTTTTTAAGTACCTTTTGGTCCTCATTACAAAAGTCAGCGTTAAAAAATTAGGCAGACTTTTGTGTGTGCCTCTGTCTATTTTTTTGCAACTCTAAATCTGAGTGTTTCTGGCTCTCTTACCCTTTGATGTTGCATGTCGACAGCAGCTTCACTGAATTATTATGTTAAAAATATAGCAGAAAGTGCTCTTATTCCTAATTTGGCCAAAGTGCCTGTTGGTCCATGAAAGTAAACACGGATGTGTCTTCACGTACGTTGTTTCCTCGGGGAATAAAGTTTAGAAGAGAATAAGCCACACCTTCTCGTAGTTTTGCTCTGTTTCCGGTGAACCTCCTTAAACTGCATGTATATGTCACTGTTCCTATGTATGTGTGTCTCTCTATCACATAACCCAGCACTTATTTCCTCAGCCAAGTGGCTAGGGGGCGAGCCTAGCCAAGATTTTACCTCCAATGGACGCAAGTTTCTTTGGTGAAGATCTCTCCTGAGAGTTCGGGACTAGCAGAAAGAAGCGAGGAAATTTCGACCGTTGGGTTCTTACGGATAGGTATTTATGTATTCGGTTTGTGTGAATGTAAGCTATGATATTTGACTTTCCAGAAAATTTTTTTTTTTTTTTTTTTTTTTTTTTTTTTTTTTTGGCAAATGGCATTGAATGGTTGACCGAACCATAAACGGTAAGCTCTGCCAGTGACGTGGATACCCTTTATGCTATTAAAGGATCGTTTACCTTAATTATAAGTTTTATCATATTATACCAAGGAATTTAGACTTTGTTAAGATAACTTGAGTTTAAAAGTAGGTGAGATGTGATTAGCCAAATTAAATATAAACCCGAGAGGATTTTTCATGTTTGTTTCCATATTTTTATTTCTCTGTTTTAATCGGTAAGTATACATGTGTGAAACGTCGCACACACACCCATCTCGACGTTACCTTCTTTCCGTTGACCAGCTTGTTCATATTACAGATACGATGGGCGCGGTCACCTGCATGACCTTTCTGAGTACGATGCTGAGTACTCCACGTGGAACCGTGACTACCAGCTCTCTGAAGAGGAGGCACGAATAGATGCCGTGTGTGATGAGGAGAGGTATTTAGCCTTGCATACGGACTTGCTTGAGGCGGAGGCGAGGCAAGGTACTGCTCAGGACAAACTTACTTCAAAGCAACACACTTTAAAAAATTTTTTAAGTGTTTAAAATTTACTCCCATTCATTTTTTTATACTCACTCTTTCTGATATTATCTTGACAGTACCCAGTGGATTGGAAAAACAGGAGTCTTTGCGTTCTGAGAGGACCTCAGGATAGTTTATATATAGAGCCACAAAGAATTTTCCCAGCTTTTGAGGGCAGACTGGGATTTGAAAAAACAAAAACCAAACTCTTTAATTGTTCTTCTTTAACAGTATCGTATAAACTAAAATTGATGTTCTTGTCTCTGCCTTAATCTTTAATACGGTTCTTACTCCCCAAATTTCTCAGCAGGAAGAAACTTTCCACAAAAGACGCGTATCCTGCTGTCTGTGGTAAACGTGTACTGGCAAAAGTACATATTGATCGATATGAAGCGTGAATTTCTCAAAACGTTTTTGCCTCAAAAAGAGGTTGACAAAAGCGTGTTGTATGCTTTACTGACAGCCGCAACTTTAGAAATGTGTAAACTTTTTCTCCGTAAATTTCCGCCCTTGTTAACAAAACTCTCGTTTTTGTTCAAGAGGAAGAATACAAGCGGTTGAGTGAGGCACTGGCCGAGGACGGGAGCTACAACGCAGTGGGGTTCACTTACGGCAGTGATTACTACGACCCGTCGGAACCCACAGAGGAGGAGGAGCCTTCCAAACAGAGAGGTGAGAGGAGAGGGCTGGCCCGGTGGCACGCCGGTGGTGGCGCGTGGCCCGCGGAGCAGTCACGGCCAGGCAGTTGGGCCATCGCTGTGACGCCAAGCACCGTGGGGCTCCGTCTTAGGGTGAAACCGAGCGAGGAACTAGACACTGAGTGTCCGGGGCGGTGGAAAGTGCGTCCGGACTTGTCCGCGTTGGATCTCGTTGCCTTTTTGCTCACTTCTCTCTGACTCGGGTGACTGGCACTTGCTCAGCCTGGATCCTTCGTTTCTGAGCCGGTCACGAGTGCACTGACATTCGTAGGGATTCATTCTCAGGGCGTTAGAAGGACAAGCGCTCATGACCTTCACGTGAACCTGCTTCACAACCCCCCCCCCCCCCCCCACCCAAAATAATGACAAGTTCCAGTAGAAGGACGCCTGTAGAGTCACTTCCCCCCAAACGTGAAAGAGCGCAAGGTAGGCTCAGTAGGACCCGCAATATCCACTTAGCTTGGGGTTTTACAGTAATATTTATGTAAAATTGAAGATTTTAAAATCCTGCTTTTCTGGATTAATGCTGGGAACTTTGAATATAAAAAAAAAAAGTGCCGCTAAACACTCGGGACTCCTGTACTACAGACACAAATGTCCTTTGTCACTTCTGTCAGCCCTGAGTCATTTGGCCTCGTATGCTAATCACCTGTTAATTATCAGTGACAGTAACACTAACCAGGAACTTTGGGGCTTGATCACCGTATTCAGGATATTCTGTTTAGAGGGAAGGAGAACTTTAGGGGGCCCCTGGATGGCTCAGTTGGTAGAACATGCGACACTTGATCTTGGGGTTGTGAGTTGGAGCCCCACACTGGGTGTGGAGCCTACTTTAAAAAAAAAATTGATAAAAATATTACAGAGAAGGAGAACTATAACTTTAGAAACCTATTCAAATGTTTACAGTAATAAACTAGAATCACGTCATACAGGGATTTCGTTTTAGAGTTAACAGTCTATTATTTGTTTCTCTTTAAGTTACAAACCCCCCAACGAGTATGAAGTGGTTACAGCAGTTTAACGTTGAAACGTGGTCTACCCTGCGCGCGGTGCGTCTGTGCTGGGTTCTCCTGCCCCTTCACTGGGGGCGGGGGGTCTCCTTGACGGGACAGCACGATGCAGGGCAGACTCACCCAGATCCACCCTTGTTGACCTTCCCCTTGTCCTGCTCATGACTCTGTGGGCAGCAACACAGTCTCTGTCGTAGTGCGACTCTGTTCTACCTGCTTCTGGAGAGACTTTTCCACTGTCATGGGAACTGTGTTGAGTCAAAACTTTGTTAAGGTATTCCATACCTTCAGAAGTTACGGTGCATTGGAAGTATTCTGGCAGGTCTAAGCGGTGAACACTCTCATTCCTTTATCCGGAGCAAGTTACCTATGTCAGGGTTCTGGATGGCTGAGGTTACGTTGTCTTCTTTCCGAACCAAGTATGTAAGTGAAGAATCGAAATTTATGAAGGTCAAATGGCTTTCGCGAGATCAAGTGACAAATCCATAATATTGGAAAAATCCGTAATGGTAATTTCTTAACGCTCTGGATTAGAGATCGGCAGACTACCCCCGTTGGTGGGTTTTTGTAAATGAAGTTTCATTGGCACACAGCTCATTTGTTGATAGTGTCTGTGCGGCCTCAACAGCAGAGTTGAGTAGTTCACCTAGAAACCATCTACAGCCAGAAATGCTTACTGTCTGACATTCAGGAAGTTGCCAGTCCCTGTTACAGGGGTTAGAATATTGTCTCTGTGAGATTAAACTTTGTTATAATTACTGAGTTTTAAGACTTTCAACGTGACTTTGTTTCTCTTTGAAGTTTTAGTATGCTTTCTCTTTAACAGAAAGTTCTCTTTAGTATTATATACTTTTTTTTTTCTTATAATCATATTTTCAGGACTTTGCTTTACATGGTGATTAACTTTTTTAAGGAAAGTTGGGCCCATGTGAAACTTACAGCTTGACTTTCTGAGTTTAACTTATGTTAATACAGATAAAATGCCACGTGTATTTTTTTAACATTTATTTATGTATTTTTATCTTTTAAAAAAAATTTTTTTTTTT